CAGCAATAGTAGCATTGACTAGCTAATTTAAGTTGAAGTATGTTTCAGATAAAGATTATTTAATAAGCTTTAGAGTAGTAATTAGGAAAGACAAACTAAGTACTTGCCACACAGTCACACACAGAGAAATTGATCAGATGCATCCCTGGATTCAGTGAAAATCAAGACTTTGAACAATTTTTATAATTTTCAAAAAGAAATTTATTAGGACTAAATATGTAAATACTCATTAAAGTTCTTAAAACAATTTTAGAACTAAGAAAATCTCTGAGAACAGTTATCATTATTTCTAGTTCAGAAACTAATAGATTACAGACAGAAGGAAAAGGGGGTCCTTACTTGCCAATTTAGATTCTTGTCTCTGAACACAGAGTAATATTGCAAGCAGGGACTGAATGTGTGGCTCAAGAGTTTGAGTTCCTACCAAGCAACAATTTCAGATAGGGACAGAAGATATCTGAGAGCATAAAGTGCATGTGCAGAGCGGTCCATATTGAGTGGGAAGACCTTGTCAAATAAAACTGTCAATCACCATAACCCATCCTGCAAAGACTGCCCAGAATTTTCTCATCATTTGCCATTGTGCTTTACAAACACCCATTGAAACAAAGACTATCCCTTTTCTCTATTTTTTGCCTCTTCTGTCCTACCTGGTGGGGACCATCACCATTTTTTGTAGAGCCTTCCCTTCTAGTTTAATAAACTTAATTATCATTCTCAGTGCATTTTTGTGTCTAGCCTAGATGCTTTCCATGAGGAAAATCTTCTGACCAGAGTTTGAGGAGTGGCCCATAATGGTAACATTTCGGTGAGCCAAGCAAGAGGTAAACCACAAGATTTCAAAATGCTAAAAGGGAAGTGGATTGTGGCCCCTTTCTCCCATCCAGGTCCTGGAGAATGGGCAAACTCAGATTTCACCTTGCAAAAATCAAGAAAGCCTCCACCCTTCTCTCTCCCTTGGCAATTTATTATAACTTTTTCTCCAACTCCACACTATCCAAGCACACAACCTCCATAGGCCATGCTGCACTTCAGGTGCACCAGCAACAAACACTGGAGTGGGCTCAGAATGCAGCTGGGACCTGAGTAGCTTTTGGTGACCTTGGATATGCTGCCTTCTGCCCTGCTCAGACCCAGTGCTTCTGCAGCTAAATTAAAAGACTGATTAGGGAATTGACTCTCTCCTTCCAGATCTTGGAGTCAAGTACAGACACATTAGGATAGAGTGGAGGCTGTGGGCACTCACAGCCTGACTTTCACCCATCCTCCCTCTTGACCACTTCCCCTTGACTCCATCTCCCAATTCTGCAGAATGGCTCTGGGATAGAAACTTTGGAGAAGTGTTGTAGATTCCATAAGGGATCACAAGACTAGACCCTAAAATAATTCCCAAGTCTCCTGCTTGAGGAACATTGATAAAGGCTTAATTCCACCTTACGTTACTTTGGTGATTCAGCACATTTCTCTAATTTTTTTTCATCAGGATAACAGTTGGGGTTTAGACATGGCCCTTAGAGGAAGCCAAAAGAATAATAAATGGGTCTTAGTTTAAAGACACCAAGATCAACTGTAATCTCTGAGGATAGGATTTATCCCAGGCATTAGACTTGGCTTCAGTTCCTACACCAACCCTGCCTCCTAATTTAGTTGGATGATTAAATGTGCTTCTTGGAGATTCTGGATAAATATCATTGCCCTTATCTCCATTTCAAATAGATTGCATTAAAATGTGCTATTAACTGGTAGTTAGTGAGCACAGATTTTTCAAGAAGAAGACATTCTGGGGAAGCTGGTAAAAAATTGTGCATAGATAATTCCAATAGGCAGGTGGTTGGATTAGAATCTAAATGAGAAAAAGGACAACAAAAAGCACCAGGCAAGGAATGCTTTCCCTCTTTCTAAAGTAGTGCATAGAGAGAATGTTATGGGAAACTCGAACAGAGACATGGGACTTGTGGCAAGGAAACAACGCTTTATTGTGCCAGCACAGATTCCGCAGACTCATGTCCAAAGGCTGAACCCCGAGAACAAAGAGGTCTCACTTTATGTACCCTTGCAAGCAGGTCACAGAGGTAATAAAATTTAAAAAAAAAAGGTTTAGCCCATATATGGTTATATGCAATTCTATAGGCTTCATCCTAGCGCTAAGTGCCCTTCTACCCCTAGTGCTATGTGACCTTCTTCATATTTGGATTCTTTAGGTTTTATCTCCCTTCTATGCCATACCCTGCCCCCTGCTACATTACCTGAACACAAACTTGTTTGTTTCTTTTTTTTGGCCCTCTTCCCTGCTACATTATTCCCTACCTTTGATGCTCGGACCCACCTAGGGTCAAAGAGTATCATCTCGATTTAGGGGTTAGGATTTTTATAGCATCATTACATGGGCAGCTGTTTTTTTCTCTATAATGTCCTCTATAATGGTCTTGATGGACCACAATACCAAGGGAACCAGGCAGGGTAACATCAAACCTGCTCCCAAGACAAGACACAGCACCCTGCTTTCCATGAGGAATGTAGCCTGCGTTGTTTTTTTTTTTTTACCAGCAACCTTGCAAACCTGGGGAGTATATGAGCTGATGTAACACCTGACCTGTTGGCAGGTGTATATTACAAAGTATGGCTGTGCAGAGGCCCCAACAATGGCTCTCTTGTAACATTCAGTACAGGGGAGGAAACCTTGTAAGGACCAAGTGTGTAGAGGAGCCCAAGTGTGTAGAGAGCACTAGTGCATCCCATGTTCAAGCTTCTGTCATGTGTAGACTAGTCAACTTCTGGAGTGACTAGAGCAGGGTTGTTGTCCCATTGTTCATGGTCCCCTGTTGTCTCCTGGGAAGCAGGGTCCTGCTGAGGAAGAGCACAGGTGTTCCAGAGGGTAATCTTGCATGGTGAGGCTAGAGGCTGGCTTTACTTGGCTGTGGTGGATCCAGGGAGCAATTTTTGCTACTTTAAGTGCCATAGAGATAGACAAAATAGCAACAAAAAGGCCCCTCAGATGGGGATTTAATGGTTGGACATTTCATTGTTTTACCCAGACAGTATCTCCTATTTTGTTTTGTTTTTCTTTTACTGAGTAGAATTATCATGGCAACAATATATTATCAGTATATATGTCCCTCTTTCCTCATTGTTAGGATTTGTTCTTTCCTGGATTTTTGTTTGTTTGTTTGATTTTGGTCCCTTGTGAGGGTGGTGTAATGAGCAGGTCAGGTGGGAGTCAGTGCCAACTAGACCCTTTTGGCCAAATTTAAGCAACAAAGAGGCTTAGAAGGAGTGGCTGTTAGGCAGTGGGCTTCTAGACAAGGATAATACAAAATAAAATCCAACAAAAGTAGACATCTAAAAAGCTAATCTGGTTGACACATAAGTACGCATTACAGTCATTTTTTGTGGAGTTGATTGCATATGCCCAGAAGGATCTGAACTATAATGACAAAAACTTAAAAGAGCCGTGGTTAAAATTTTGATGGACACTTTAGCAACTAACAGAACAGTATATCAGTACCATTAACTTATTGTTACTGTGTTTATCTAAATTTTGTATTTTAGAAGGCATGATACACTTGAAAAATGTAAATATATTTAGTGTATAGGAACCAGGAAAAGCATCACAGCTCTATAGAGGTTATATATACATATTAGTTTAGTTGTTGCTCTTGAAGTTTTCTCATCAGTTGGGGGATGGGGAACAGTGTCAGTGACCCAAAATAGCCCAGCCACTGACACATATAGGGTTCTGACTGTATTAGAATCACCCATGACAACAGTTGTTTAACCGTGAGGTCATCTAGAAAATTTTATGTAAACGAACTCTTAAATGAACATGACTCAGTTACCTAAGTAGTCAAAACCCTGTCAAAAATCACCAGACAACACAGGTAAATATTTATGGGGACCAAGTGTGAAGTTAGGAAACCTAATGGCCAAGAATCATGGCTCAGATGTTGATAACGTATTATATCCCAGATTGTGGACATTAATGAATGGCTCATGCCATACAGCAGGATCACACCAACCTATAGTCAATGGAGCCCCCTTAAAATAGCAGACCCAATCTGGACATCTCAGACCAAAAATTCCCTCTGCCTGACATATGGAAGAAGTAGAATTAACATCTCCACTCTGTTGACTGCAATAGAAACTGGAAGTATTGACCTCCAATGTAGTCCTCTTTTTTGAGGTTTTTTCTTTATCCTATCTGGAGGGTGTACTTTGGCTTTTTTTTTTTTTTACTTTGCTTTACATAAGTAAATCCATCTTAACCCTCATATCAGTGCAGCAGCATTCCCTGTGCTCAGCTGTCTCCTGCCTGTCTGTGTTTTAATAAACTCTTGTCTTGATAAATTTGTGGATTAACTTATAGCACTAAAAATTCCTGAAATTTATCTTGACAAAACAAAAACCATTTTAAGACAGTTTTTTTGTAAATGTTACCAAGAACAATATAATATTTTTAAGATAGCCTTGTTGTTAGAGCTTAGAGAATTAAGGTTTAGTTTAACATCAGTACAGTAGATTTTGGCCTTACAAAACCTTTAATGTAGCTGGGTTTTAATCAACTCAATCACTTACATAAGTATTTATAAGCTCCATCATTTTATGACAACTTGCACTGTCCCATTATGACAATTTAGTTTTTATCTTCTGGAGGAGCATGTGTTTATCCTTTTCCTAAAAGTATATTTTTTACCTTTAATTTTTTAAAAACCATATTCTTAATACCTTATATATACATTTTTGTTACTTATTGAAAATAACTCATAAACCCTTTTAACTTAGAGCCTTATATTTGTATGAAAAAAAAAACAGAAAGAAAGTAAACTTAAAATTATTTTTTGTGTAAAAGCAATTTAAAGAAAGCCCATTTGTTAATAGACTCATGTATTATAAGAGAGAATTAAATCCCAGATTTTATTTATGACAGAATGAAACAGGGCTAAGGTCAATTAAATGAAAGTGCACTCTCAAAAACAGAAAAAAAACTTTTAAATTATACTCACAGGACTATCTGGTGGAATGGTGGATGATGCATCTATTCTCTCGTGAGTCTCCCTCTTTGGAACTGAATTTTTGTCACCCATCACTTAACCTCTGTTGTGGCTGTTTCCCAGGAAACTCTCAACCTCCCTAATTCCCAGAGGTGTCTCACACAGTTTTGTCCCACTCCTTAAACGTGAGAGACCCTGTTTCACCCCAGATAGGGCTACTGGGGAGGTCTCTGGGAGGTGACTAGTCTCCCATTCTGCCTCCCAAAGACAGGCCTATTATTTGAACCTGGGCAACACTCTCCTCACTGGTTCCTGTGCCTCACTGGGTTCCATTGTGTGTCCAAGACCCTCACCCTGACTCACTGGGAGGATGAGTCGCTCCTCTGGATCAAGCCATCTGTTGGCACCTGTCGGGATCACTTCTTCCAGTGGTTCAGGTAATGTACTACAGCAACAGAGAGGTGAAAAAAAAATCACAGTCTCTGCAATCCTGGACGAGCCCCCAGGAAATGTATGGGAAACTCGAACAGAGACATGGGACTCTGAAGCAAGGAAACAACATTTTATTGTGCCAGCATAGTCTCAGCAGATGCATGCCCAAAATTAAATTTAAAATTAAATTTTAAGCCCATATATGGTTATATGCAGTTCTATAGGCTACTTCATGCTATGTGACCTCTTCAAGTTTGGATTCTTCAGGTTTTATCTCTCTGCTATGCCATCCTTTCCCCCCTTTACTTTATCAGAACACAGGCCTGTCTGTTTTTCTTCTGGTCCTCCTTCCTACTACAAGAGCAGAAATGGTCAGTTTGATTTTTGTTTTTATTTTAAAAAGTAAATTGCTTTTCATTTGAAACTGCTTAGGGACAACATGATGAAATGAGGTTTTACTTTTTCTATTCCAATTTCTGGGTGGGCAGAGAGAATGTAGGGACTTAGATGACAGGAGGAATATTTGTAATGGAAAGCAGTCATGTACTTGAATTCATTCACTGGGGTAAAATACCTTAACACTTGTTGTTTACATAGATAACAGGACCTAAACAAGGACAGCTAACTAAATTATCTTGCAACTCAACAGATAAGGTTCAGAGTCGGTGTATAAATATCATAGATAAAAAATATATTTAGAAAATTATAGAAAAATGTCTTCATATAACTAAGTAAAAACTGAAGGCTAGGTGACCAGGAAGTAAACTTCAAACCATATTGAGAAACTTGTAGGGCTATTCATTAAGAGATAACAGATTTGACTCCATCCAGAACGGAGGTGAATTTTTAGTTTCAGTGTTGGAATTCAGCTAGAAAATAAAGTATTTTGACAGTGAGGATTTTTCTAAACAAATCCCAAGGGCTTTCCACTCCACCTCATCCCCCTGTTGTTGATACCTCCCCTTCTGCTCATAAGAAACAGGTAAGTCTTGATTTTTACTCTCAAATGAATTCGGCTGGAAATCAGTGGCAAATAGACACCAGGCTTTTGGCTACTTACTTTTATAAAGTTAAGTGAGCAGAGTATGAATCACATAGCTCTCTAATTGTGTACCTAGAAAAACTTTAATCTGAGCATATTTGAAACCATGAGTTACTATAAACAGACAATGGAAGAGAGGTAAGAATGAAGACAGGCACAGTGCTTCCCAGATATGTACTTTCTCAAGCTAGAGTCCATAAATCAACTAGAAGCAATTGAACTCTTGAGAAAATTTGTTTTGTTTTGAAGTATTTCTTGTGAACATATTCAACAATGAATATGCCTTTTAATTTTGAGACTGACTAGTTTTGAGGTTCTTCTTGTCATCCAGACATTTTTTATTATGTTAAATATCTAAATCATTTCCTTTTTGGGCTTGTCTATCATTACAAACCTGGATACTTTTAAGGATTTAACAAATGTTCAGTCGTTTGCAATGATTTAAGTAAAGAAATTTAACCCAAATCCATCTAGGATCAACTTAGTTCAATGTAAAGGCAATAACAAAGAAGGGAGCAGGGAGGGAACAAGAAAAAGAAAAAAGTATTTCATATTGGCTTATCACACCTTTTAAATCATACACCACTAGATGCATATTTGTCTCCTCAGCATCAAAGTATTAGTAATTTCTTCTGTGCTTCTGAGAAGTTTGACTTAGCCCTTTGGTTTCTTAACCTGCACAGTCTCAGACCTTGGGGACTGTCCTGAGGGGAGGCAGCTCTAGAATTTCCTTAAATCTCCAATCTTGTTGCTCTGGCCAAGGGACCACCCACAGCTCTGTAGATCTTCTAGTCACCCAGCAGCAGATTCTTAACCTGGATCAACAAAATCCCCAGGAACAGAGTGCTAGACACTTTCCAGTGTGAATTCACCACTCCTTCCAGAGGTTTTTAACTCTTTTGAGCCCCTTCCTAGACATTTTTATCCTCTAGGAACTTTGGGACTGGAAAAATTAAACTTCCACTGTGCCTCTGAAGTTTTGATTTGCTTCCCACTGCATGCAGATTTCTAATTCAGCAAAAATCCTAAGTTGGGGGTGTAAGGGGGCTGACAAGTGCCTGAAGCTCCACAAGTGCTCCATTTGTCTGTCACTCCAGTCACTGGAGCCCTGCAGGGTTTCAGTCACCACTGGTGCCTGTGTTCCCTGACGCCCAGGTTCTAATCCACAGAACTGACATTAGCCCCAGATTATTGCCACTGAGTCCCTCCTTTCTGAAGTTTTATTTCATTTAATTTTTCTGGGTTTTGTACTTGTCTGACATTCATCAGTATATTATGTAACTAAATTTTCAAGTTGTCATTAGTGTGTTAACCTCTTGTGAACTACTCCATCTTATCTAAAATGGCAGTTTTGAAAATACAGTTTTATTTTTTATATTTGTATATTGTGACAGTTTGAAAATACACACACTCATAGATATACCCACATGCATGTATGTCACTTAATATACAAATTTTCCAAAGCCCTTTTGTAGAAAAATCAAAAATTTCATTTTAATTTCCTACTAGAGAATAACCTAATCAGATTTCTCTTTCTATTACCATGTGGTGTGAAGGAAAATTTATAACAATTTTTTTTCTCAACAACAAAAAAATAGTGACTTTCTGTCAATCCTTTACTGTAGCAGAAGACTGAATTAATCTGTGCTCTTGAGGATCTCAGCACAAGTCTTGTCTCATCTTTGGATTGCTGCCCATAATAACCACATCTTTAGTGTATATATGTTAATGTCATTGTTATCTTATGATCTACTAAAGCACCAGGAGTGAGCAAACAGGTGTGGTAGTCCATACAGGTGCTTGGGAAGCTTAGGTAGGCAGGAGGATCAGACCTATTCCAAAAAAGGAAAAAAATTTAAACTATATTCATAGTATGTTGGTAAATTTTCATGTCCCAGGTTTTTTTCAGTCAATAAATATTACTTAGGTTGTATAGGCCAGAAAATATTTTAGAAACTATTATCAATGGTGAAGAAGATAAGATACCATTATGAATTAATTGTTTGTGATTCTGGGGATCAAGTTCAGGGCCTTGCTTCATATACTATGCAAGTGCTCTACCATTGAAGATATACCCCAGGATTTTATTCTCTCTTTCTCTCTCTCTCTCATTTTCCTCCCCTCCTCTTTTTTGAGACTATGTAGCACAATACTGACATCAAAGTCACAATCCTCTTTCCTCAGTCTCTCCAGTGCTGGGTTTACAGACAGACATACTGCACCATTATCAGCTAGCTTGTTCATTTTCTACTGATCAAGAGGACCTATAAAATGATGCCTGTAAGGCAGAGAGGCAAGTGCTATGATAAGGTAAACTGCATATCATAAAAGTGCATTTCTCTTAATACTGGATTTTATTTTCAGATTCTTCAAATAGAATCAACATAATAAAAATGAGACTAATGTATTGGGAGAATATGTGACTACTTTTTTGCAACTGCACAGCTCCAGGAGATGTTGTGCAAATTACCTGGAAGAAAATTCAAGATTCTTCCCCACAAAATATTGGCACTTATAGTAGTAAATATGGAGAAAAGATTCTTCCACCATATGTAGACAGACTGCACTGCAAGATCCTTGAACCCAATTCCTCATTCATAACTATCCAGAAAGTGACCTTTGAAGATGAAGCCTGCTACAAATGTCTGTTTAATGTGTTTCCACATGGCAGCCACGGAGGAGAGATCTGCCTTAACATTTTGAGTATATTAATGTTTTCTGTAGGGTCAGATGACTGGGGTAGAAATCAAGGGGTAGTGATGCTTTAAGTTAGGGTCCAAAGAAAATGCTAGGGGATGAAAGATTAATAGACATCATCCAGGTCAAGTCACTGATTACAGAGAATATAAAAATAAAAATGGAAGCCAATGATGGTTATGTGACTTACCCATTTTCACACAGGCAGGACCTTGTCCTCTTTGTTTAATTTCTTTACATTATACTCGCCTATCTTCCATCCAACTGTACTGTTGAAAGAAGAGAGGAAAAGAATAAAAGATAATACTACAGAAGGACAAAGAGGGAAGATGAAGCTTCTAAGAGAATAAGGATTTCTCAGTCTTTAAATAAACCAAATGTTATAGCACTAGTGATAATGCCATAGAGTCCCCTTATTCCGTTGCTATAAATTTAAAGGATTGGGGTTTGTATAATGTAGTTTTCAGATTAAATGAAAGTTGAAAGGGTGAGTAGAGGAACTGGTATTGTGAGATTTCATAAAAGGTGAGGAAAGTATCTGAGAGGGATATGTTTTCAGCATTTGGCTCCATATGAAATTTGGGGAAAGTAAGTCTTAAGCAGCACAGGAATCTAGTATGACATGCTTTTTGTATTTAATTTCATTTTTCTTTCTTTCTTTTTGCCTCAGCTGTATCCAACTTAACAAATGAGAACCGATTCATCTCTGACTCTGAAGGTTCTCTTGAGCTTATTTATTCAGCCGTGGGAAAGCCTGCTCCTCAAATCTCTCTTTTCCCCTCACAAGTCCTCATGAACCGACCAAAGGAATACCTTGATCAGAGCCAGAATGGCACAGTAACTGTCACCAAAATATACACTGTCTCTTTGGAGACTGTGCGGTTCTTGGGACTCCAACACCTGATTGTGCACATGGATCACCCTCTGAGGAATGAAGAGAGAATTGTTCCTCTGTCAGTAAAACAAGAATGTAAGTAGAAGTGACAGCTCAGTATGGGGAAATAATTATCTTTCTTTAAAATTTATTACCGGAAGAGTTTGTATGAATCAGTATTTTTGAAATTGTAAACCAATGAAGTCTACATGTGTGGTTCCAACTCTCAAATAACTAAGTCTCTTTTCCAAACCTGCTTGCTGGATCAACTCTTTCTATATGGCACATTATGAAATTGATTTCTTCATTTGTGTTCTGTTGAATTTCTGCCATGATCACTGAAAACTGGGCTCATTTACACGACCCTCACTTTCTCGTCCCTCCCTTTCCCAGCAGCCCATGGAACCTTCTCCAAAATAGATAATATCCTACGCCACAAAGCAAGTCTCAGCAAGTATAAGAAAATAGAAATTATACCGTGCATACTATCTGATCACAATACAGTAAAAATAGAACTCAACAACAAAAGTAAAGACAAAAAACACACAAACAGCTAGAAACTAAATAACTCATTACTTAATGAAGAATGGATCATCAATGAAATAAAAGAGGAAATTAAAAAGTTCCTGGAAGTCAATGAAAATGAAAACACAACCTACTGGAACCTATGGGACACAGCTAAAGCAGTCCTGAGAGGAAAGTTTACAGCCATGAGTGCATATATTAAAAAGATTGAAAGATCCCAAATCAATGACCTACATTGATTTGAGTTGATACATCTCAAACTCATAGAAAAACAAGAACAAGCAAATCCCAAAACGAATAGAAGGAGAGAAATAATAAAAATAAGAGCTGAAGTCAATGAAATAGAAACCAAAAAAACCATACAAAGAATTAATTAAACAAAAAGTTGGTTCTTGAAAAAATAAAAATCGATAGACCCCTGGCAAACCTGACTAAAATGAGTAGAGAAAAAACCCAAATTAGTAGAATCAGGAATGCAAAATGAGAGATAACAACAAACACCATGGAAGTCCAGGAAATCATCAGAGACTACTTTGAGAACCTATATTCAAATAAATCTGAAAATCTTAAAGAAATGGACAGATTTCTAGATACATATGATCATCCAAAACTGAACCAAGAGGAAATTAATCACCTGGATAGATCTATAACACAAAATGAAATTGAAGAAGCAATCAAGGGTCTCCCCAAAAAGAAAAGTCCAGAACCTGATGGATTCTCTGCTGAATTCTACCACACCTTTAAAGAAGAACTGATACCAACCCTCCTTAAACTGTTCCATGAAATAGAAAGGGAAGGAAAACTGCCTAACACATTTTATCAAGCCAGTATTACACTTATGCCAAAACCAGGCAAAGACACCTCCAAAAAGGAGAATTATAGGCCAATCTCCTTAATGAACATTGATGCAAAAATCCTCAAAGAAATAATGGCAAACCGAATTCAACAACACATCAAAAAGATTATTCACCACGACCAAGTAGGCTTCATCCCAGGGATGCAGGGGTGGTTCAACATACGAAAATCAATAAACGTAAATAAACCACATTAACAGAAGCAAAGACAAAAACCACTTGATCATCTCAATAGATGCAGAAAAAGCCTTTGATAAGATCCAACACCATTTCATGATAAAAGCTCTAAGAAAACTAGGAATAGAAGGAAAGCACCTCAGCATTATAAAAGCTATATATGACAAACCTACAGCCAGCATTATACTTAATGGAGAAAAACTGAAACCATTCCCTCTAAAATCAGGAACCAGACAATGATGCCCACTATCTCCACTCCTATTCAACATAGTACTGGAATTCCTAGCCAGAGCAATTAGACAAGAAGAAGGAATCAAAAGAATACAAATAGGTAAAGAAACTGTCAAAATATCCCTATTTTCAGATGACATGATCCTATACCTTAAAGACCCAAAAAACTCTACTCAGAAACTTCTAGACATCATCAATAGCTATAGCAAGGTAGCAGGATATAAAATCAACATAGAAAAATCATTAGCATTTCTATACACTAACAATGAGCAAATGGAAAAAGAATGTATGAAAACAATTCCATTTACAATAGCCTCAAAAAAAAATCAAATACCTAGGTGTAAACCTAACAATGTGAAAGACCTCTACAAGGAAAACTATACACTTCTGAAGAAAGAGATTGAGGAAGACTATAGAAAGTGGAGAGATCTCCCATGCTCATGGATTGGTAGAATCAACATAGTAAAAATGTTGATAATCCCAAGAGTAATCTACATGTTTAATACAATTCCCATCAAAATTCCAATGACATTCATTAAAGAGATTGAAAAATCTACTGTGAAATTTATATGGAAACACAAGAGGCCACGAATAGCCAAGGCAATACTCAGTCAAAAGAACAATGCAGGAAGTATCACAGTACCTGACTTCAAACTATATTACAAAGCAATAACAATAAAAACAGCATGGTACTGGCACAAAAACAGACATGAAGACCAGTGGAACAGAATAGAGGACCCAGATATGAAGCCACACAACTATAACCAACTTGTCTTTGACAAAGGAGCTAAAAATGATGGAGAAATAGCAGCCTCTTCAACAAAAACTGCTGGGAAAACTGGTTAGCAGTCTGCAAAAAACTGAAACTAGATCCATGTATATCACCCTATACCAATATTAACTCAAAATGGATCAAGGATCTTAATATCAGACCCAAACTCTAAGTTGATACAGGAAAGAGTAGGAAATACTCTGGAGTTAGTAGGTATAGGTAACTTTCTCAACGAAACCCCAGCAGCACAGCAACTAAGAGAGAGCATAGATAAATGGGACTTCATAAAACTAAAAAGCTTCTGCTCATCAAAAGAAATGGTCTCTAAACTGAAGAGAACACCCACAGAGTAGGAGAAAATATTTGCCAGCTATACATCAAAGGACTGATAACCAGAATATATAGGGAACTTAAAAAACTAAATTCTCCCACAACTAATGAACCAATAAAGAAATGGGCAAGTGAACTAAACAGAACTTTCTCAAAAGAAGAAATTCAAATGGCCAAAAAAAACACATGAAAAAATGCTCACCATCTCTAGCAATAAAGGAAATGCAAATTAAAACCACACTAAGATTCCACCTCACCCGTTAGAATAGCCATCATTAGCATCACCAACAACAACAGGTGTTGGCGAGAATGTGGGGAAAAAGGAACCCTCTTACACTGTTGGTGGGGATGTAAACTAGTACAACCACTCTGGAAAAAAATTTGGAGGCTACTTAAAAAGCTGGACATCGATCTACCATTTGATCCAGCAATACCACTCTTGGGGATATACCCAAAAGACTGTGACACAGGTTACTCCAGAGGCACCTGCACACCCATGTTTATTGTGGCACTATTCACAATAGCCAAGTTATGGAAACAGCCAAGATGCCCCACCACTGATGAATGGATTAAGAAAATGTGGTATCTATACACAATGGAATTTTATGCAGCCATGAAGATGAACGAAATTTTATCATTTGGTGGTAAATGGATGGAATTGGAGAACATCATTCTGAGTGAGGTTAGCCTGGCCCAAAAGACCAAAAATCATATGTTCTCCCTCATATGTGGACATTAGATCAAGGGCAAACACAACAAGGGGATTGGACTTTGAGCACATGATAAAAGCGAGAGCACACAAGGGAGGGGTGAGGATAGGTAAGACACCTAAAAAACTAGCTAGCATTTGTTGCCCTTAACACAGAGAAACTAAAGCAGATACCTTAAAAGCAACTGAGGCCAATAGGAAAAGGGGACCAGGAACTAGAGAAAAGGTGAGATCAAAAAGAATTAACCTAGAAGGTAACACACACACAGAGGAAATAATGTTAGTCAACTCTCTGTATAGCTATCTTTATCTCAACCAGCAAAAACCCTTGTTCCTTCCTATTATGGCTTATACTCTCTCTACAACAAAATTAGAAATAAGGGCAAAATAGTTTCTGCTGGGTATTGAGGGGTGGGGGGTAGAGGGAGGGGGCAGAGTGGGTGGTAAGGGAGGGGGTGGGGGCAGGGGGGAGAAAAGATCCAAGCCTTATATGCACATATGAATAATAAAACAATAAAAATAAAATAAAAACAAAACAAAACAAAAAAAATAAGTTATGAGAACTACCTCTCCACTTTTTGTTTTTGTTGGAAAAAAGCATCTGGTGGTCCAAAATTATGCTTTGGAATATGGAAATGCGTGCTTTGAGTGATAACTTTAGTTCTGTTACATACCATCTTTCTTCTTAGCCTCACCAGGCCTCTCTATGCCCTGCAGGTGGAGTCTTTTTTCTGCATCCCTTGGCTGCTGCTGCATCTATCCTGAACCCGCATAATTCACTCCTCTGTCCACTTTACGTGTTTTATAAGTTCTTTTCTTTACAATTTTTTGTCACTGAAGGTCACTCTTTGCTGTTTTTGTTGTTTTACACTTAAACTTGTTGTTTTGTTAGTTACATTCAAAGGAGTCCCAAGAAGCGTTAGAGTTAATTTTTTCTGTTATGTTTGTTTCCTGAAATTGAAGTCAATTGGTTCCCTTTTCCTGGTAAATTTCACTAACTCATGAAATTATATTATGCCAATTGAACAACACAGGTATCTCCCATCAATCTACTGGCTACATTTTTGTGGTTAATTTCATTATTTTAATGTCAATAAAAAGCAGTTTATCAATTTGGAAGAATATTCTTGCTTGCTTAGTTCTCTGATGACTTAGGGACATTAGTTCCTGATTCTGCTGTGGGGTCATACAGAACTCTTTCACTCTGCTTTATTGGTGTTGACTGTAGGGATGTGCTCACACTTTCATGTCATATTCTTCAGACTCAGTCTCTTCTGCCTATTTAAAAGAACTATGTAGTATCAATAAAACCTAAAAACAAAGACACAATGATGTCTGTGCAGTTAAAAGTAAATTCAAAAAGCATTTGAGGATGAAGAAACTACTAACAAGGATTTCTCTTTTCCTTCAACAGTAATGAAAAATTTAAAGCAGCAAATTAAAAGGGATGAAAGGTTATTATGAGCAGAAAAATGAGTATTTGTATTTAGAGAAATTAGAAGACTA